TGGCATGATGCGGTTCGGGGGGCATGGCCTGGCATGATGCGGGTTTGGGGGACATGGCCAGGCATGATGCGGTTTGGGGGGCATGGCCTGGCACAATGCGATTTGGGGGGCATAGCCTGGCATGATGCGGTTCGGGGGGCATAGCCTGGCATGATGCGGTTCGGGGGGCATAGCCTGGCATGATGCGGTTTGGGGGGCATGACCTTGCACAACGCGATTTGGGGTGCATGGCCTGGCATGATGTGACTGGGGGGCATGGCCTGGCATGATGCGGTTTGGGGGGCATGGCCTGGCATGATGCGGGTTTGGGGGACATGGCCTGGCATGATGTGGTTGGGGGGGCATGGCCTGGCATGATGCGGTTTGGGGGACATGGCCTGGCATGATGCGGTTCGGGGGACATGGCCTGGCATGATGCGGTTCGGGGGGCATGGCCTGGCATGATGCGGGTTTGGGGGACATGGCCTGGCACGATGCGGGTTTGGGGGACATGGCCTAGCATGATGCGGTTTGGGGGACATGGCCAGGCATGATGCGGTTCGGGGGGCATGGCCTGGCATGATGCGGGTTTGGGGGACATGGCCTGGCATGCTGCGGGTTCGGGGGACATGGCCTGGCATGATTCGGTTCGGGGGACATGGCCTGGCATGATGCGGTTTGGGGGACATGGCCTGGCACAATTTGGTTTGTGGGCTTGCATGGACGGATGCTCTTGTGGGGTTTCGTGGCATAATGCCGTTCGGAGGTTGCATGGACGAATTCGATTTGGGACGTACGTGAGGCGCCTTAGCACGGTATCGTGCACGGTAAGTCTGGGCCGCAAGCATAGGGTTTTAACTGCTGTTCGCGCTTCATTGCAACCGTTAGTCGTTAGAATCCGCATGTTTAACCGTGTCATCTGTACTTGTGCAGGGTCTCCTCTCCGCAGAGTTTGTGTTTGAAGCTCTGAAGGACTGCGCGGCCTCAGCTCTAACGAGGCTGCGACGTACGTGAGGCGCCTTAGCACGGTATCGTGCACGGTAAGTCTGGGCCGCAAGCTTAGGGTTTTAACTGCTGTTCGCGCTTAAATGCAACCGTTAGTCGTTGGAATCCGCATGTTTAACCGTGTCATCTGTATTTGTGCAGGGTCTCCTCTCCGCAGAGTTTGTGTTTGAAGCTCTGAAGGACTGCGCGGCCTCAGCTCTACCGAGGCTGCGATGTACGTGAGGCGCCTTAGCACGGTATCGTGCACGGTAAGTCTGGGCCGCAAGCATAGGGTTTTAACTGCTGTTCGCGCTTAAATGCAACCGTTAGTCGTTGGAATCCGCATGTTTAACCGTGTCATCTGTACTTGTGCAGGGTCTCCTCTCCGCAGAGTTTGTGTTTGAAGCTCTGGAGGACTGCGCGGCCTCAGCTCTAACGAGGCTGCGACGTACGTGAGGCGCCTTAGCACGGTATCGTGCACGGTAAGTCTGGGCCGCAAGCATAGGGTTTTAACTGCTGTTCGCGCTTAAATGCAACCGTTAGTCGTTGGAATCCGCATGTTTAACCGTGTCATCTGTACTTGTGCAGGGTCTCCTCTCCGCAGAGTTTGTGTTTGAAGCTCTGAAGGACTGCGCGGCCTCAGCTCTAACGAGGCTGCGACGTACGTGAGGCGCCTTAGCACGGTATCGTGCACGGTAAGTCTGGGCCGCAAGCATAGGGTTTTAACTGCTGTTCGCGCTTAAATGCAACCGTTAGTCGTTGGAATCCGCATGTTTAACCGTGTCATCTGTACTTGTGCAGGGTCTCCTCTCCGCAGAGTTTGTGTTTGAAGCTCTGGAGGACTGCGCGGCCTCAGCTCTAACGAGGCTGCGACGTACGTGAGGCGCCTTAGCAC